TCCTGAGCAACTGTTCTGCAGGCTTTCTAAAGGCCTTTCAGTCTTTCATCGGCACTTATTTTCAGTCCAGTCCTTGTACCGGACCTTTTCAGAGGAATGTTTTGTTTGTAAAACCACTTAACACTGACCTACGAATCATTCAATCATGAAAAAGAACCCAACTCAAAGGAGGAGAGAGCGTTGTGTCTACACATAACAGACAACATAGCAAAGAACCCATTTTAAACTGAATCACTTTGCTAGCAGCCAGTTGAAAAAACACACGTTTTCTTTCGTTGAATCTATAAAAAATGTTTGACAGACGTAAAACAGTATTTTTGCACCAATAAACCGTACATTTTTACAAAAAGCCTAAAACTTGGTCTAATCTGAGCATGCTGTTCAGTGTTTCCTTGAAAAGTTTGAGGAAACTAGACAAGTGGAGGACAAGAGAAGAAGTGGCAGGCCTAAATGCTATTTACAGCAGATGAACAGTACATGAAAGTCATGACTTACAGAAATAGGAAATAATCCAACAAAGACCTGACACAGGACCTTAGAGATGCATCTGGCCTTTTGGTTCATCAGTCTGTCTCAGTGAAGAGTGGCTGTCAAGAAGCCATTATTCTTAAGGAAAGGAAACAGGGAGAAAAGACAGAGATGTGCCAAATTACACAAGAACTGGATTTAAAATCAGTTGCCTTAGGTCAGGGGTGTCAAACTGAAATACACAGTGGGCCAAAATTCAAAACTGGATCAAAGTCGCGGGCTAACATTAATATTCATTGAAAAAAATCTTCCTCCAAATATAAGAATGAATCTTTTCTTATGGACTCAAACAAGTTTTGCTGAAAAACTGAGTATGGAACAAGCAAAGCTTAATACTAAGCAATATATATAACTTATATAAACGTATATATATAACTTAATATTGCACACATGCAAAATCGAAATTCCAATTAAATAACACATCAGTGGAATTCATTTCTTAAATAAAAATTGTATTTGCAGCCAAAACACCAACAGAGCATTCTGGGAATTGTAGTATTAGCAGTACATGAACTGTATAATACCAGCAGGCCAGCTCTAATAGTAATTTTGTATGGCTTCGCGGGCCAGATGTAATTAGGCTACGGGCCAAATTTGGCCCGCAGGCCAGAGTTTGACACCTATGCCTTAGGTCTTTTTTAGGTCTAAATTTTTTGCTTCGGATTCTCATCTAGGTCAGGAAAGAGGTCAAATAACAGCCATCTGTAAAACACAGTGGAGGCTCTTTCATGGGTTGAGGCTGCATTTCAGACAGCAGTGTTGAAGATCTTCTCAAAATAGATGGAATTACTGATCCAGAAAGATTGAAGTATTGTTGTATGTTTAGCCAGTATGACAATGATCCCAAACACGCTGCCAATACAGTAAAAATTTCCATTTCTGGATAGAAAACCACACAATGGATTTTTGTTAGTGTTTTAGCATGTTAGTAGGTATTTATAACAGGGTCTTTAAAGTGTAAAGTCACATTAATTTTGGGCCTTAAAGTGTCTGAAAACCTCCACATTCTGAAGTTTTTTTTTATACATTTGTTAATTATCTTTTTTTGGAAGGGGCGGGGTATTATTGACCATGCAGTAACAAAACTATAAATTAAAACCAACATGTTGCCAGTAGCCACTAATGGAAACTACAGCGTGTATAAAACACCCAGCTTGTGTTTTGTTTTGCAGTGTGAGGTGTCTGCTAATGCGACATACCCACTCATAAGTGAACATGTTAGGTGTTAAAGCTGTACAGTTGCGCAGGAAGTCAGAAAAACATCGGTTGCCATAACACACCAACAGCAGTACCGAAAATCCCACTCCAGTGAAACCCACTCTGCATTAGCAGCATCACTCCTGTAACTCCAGACAGTGCTTGGAGCTACGCTGACATTAAAGTGGTGGTGCTCTGGACTAATTCTGGCTCTGTGATTCTCATTCGTATCCCTCATCCTTTTCTTCTGCCAATATGGATGTGAAATAAGTCTTAAAAAGCATTTATAATCATCTTAAACAGGTCATTAAGAAATCTTGCTGGACTAAAGACAAAGCGCAAAGAGCAAGCTGATGAGGGTGTGATTAGTTTTGCAGACTTTAAATGCAAAACAAAATATTGGATAAGGTGAAAATTAAGCCTAACGATTTACCTCGAGAGAGAAACATCTGTGCAAAATTTCATGGCAGTCTAGACAGCTCATGCAAAACCACAAATATAAACCTCATGGTGGCGGCTGAGCAATCGGGGGGATCGTCAAAGTCAGTAGACTTATCCCCTGGGAACCATGAATGTCTGCACAAAATATTTGGCAGTCTAATGCAATATTGAGATACATTATTTGATAAGGGATGACGCTGCCGCTCCTTCAGTCTTATGTTCTGCTGTCACTAACGGTTTGTGTTGATATTTAACATGAATATTTATAGTGTAGGCTGAGTATTAGCGAACAATACAGTTAAGGTTGAAGCAATCTAACAGAAGGTACAATTATTCTGTCAGGACTGACGTTTTTACCACCTAGACAAATGATTGTGGTGAACCCTTCCACTTTTCACTTAAATCTGTCACAACCCCTCCAAAATAAACTGTGCTTAGCAGAAATGAGTTTGTTTTAGCCAAACCAAACCTCCCAGACTCCACCAACCTGAATAGCTCCAGCATATAATACAGCTAAACATACTGTCTACAACAAAGAACATGCACAACTCACGCTCCTTGTTGTGTCACTACTCCTACTACCATCTGCAGCTGAGTAATCACGCTTTATTTGTGCAAACGCCCACCCTATACTGACAACATCGAGTTCACACCTGCTCTGTAGGCACTGCCATGTAAAGATCACTATCAAAATAGACATGGCCTTTTCGCCTGAGAGCAGATACACAGGAAAATCGGATTTTACTGAAAAATACACTCTCGAAATGACAAGCCAAGTTATCCAAAAAAGAGATTCCTTCGCGTTTTTGCTGCAACTCTATAGGTTTGTGTGCAGGAGTTCTTGGGCTTTGGAAGTACATGCCGTCCTGTCTGGATTCGTTTGCATCAAGAAGTACTCCTGCTGCCGCCTTTGATTTTCTGGCCAGAAGTCTGAATATCAGCTCCGGGATCACCTATGATGGAAGAGATTATTGTTGACTTTATGGCAAAAGAGGAGAGCCTGTAATTTCACTCACTGCCACGAATCACAGAACAATTCGCAGCAGAAACCTCGGCGGTGGTCGCTCATTACTTCTCACTAGAGCCCCATGCAGATGTCCTATTATGCAGTAATAGTCCCCTTCACTCATGCATAAGGACTTCCACTTGGCACAGGCTGTAACTGTGATCTGAGAAAGACTTCTCAAAATGAGCTGAAATGCAGACATCCTGCAGGGGCTCCAGTGGCGCAATCGGTCAGCGCGCGGTACTTATAAGACAGTAACCTGCAGAGCGATGCCGAGGTTGTGAGTTCGAGCCTCACCTGGAGCAGTGAAGTTTTAGGCTCTTCGGTTTATGAGATTTAAGCCAGACCGTGTGTGTGCGTGCGTGGGAGGGTAGAGTAGTGCTAAGTTGATGACAACTTTAACCCCACAAACACACTGCTGGCTTTTGATAGCTACACAATACTTTGTCTGATATTCTTTAAGCAATGAGCACAAAGTAGTTTAAAAATTACTCTAAAGACGGTGCTTGACTCTTCAGCACAGCAAGAACTTTTCACAATATATCACATATAGAACATCAATTACACCAACACAGATAATTAATCAGATAATTCACATATGCCAGTAGGTCAGGATCGTTTTTAGAGTAGAGTAACTAAATAAACAGTGAGACAGTAAACAGACAAAATGTGCACACATCATCAAGCAGCAGCAGCTTTGAGAAACAAATGACAGTTTTGGTTCTGCACATTATTAAAAAGTTCCAGAGCAAACATTCACAAACTGAGGAAATGTCTCATGAATTCCCATACAGCTGCTGTGGAAACAGATAAACAGGAAAACCCCTTTTCACTCTCTGAATGCCTTCAAAGTCATAAACCAGTGAGCAACTGAGATCAGTGGAAGCTTCGGCCTTTTATTTTCTTTTTTTTATCTTTCCGTCTGCTGGTGTGGCTCAGCTTGGGTCAAATTTTCTGTCTGATGCTGTCTGTTAACGGGCGGCCTGCAGTGCAACAGCATCCATTTCTCTCCACACAAGTGGCGTGCTTGTGTTTTATCTGAGCACAAGCCTTCCATGTGAGCAGCTTAGTGCCACCTTGTGGTTGTGAAACATAGCTGCACCAACGTGCCTCCAAAACTCCAGGGGAGGAGTAAGTACTGGTAGATCTTAGTTTGCAGATAAATGCTGAGTATCCTGTGGGAATGGAGAAAATATTAACTGGTGTTTGAGAAAAGTTTAAGCTCAGCTGAAATAATGTGTCATGTGTTTGCATTAAGTTATCTAAATGTGCTGCAGTGCTGCTTGTAAGACGGCAAACAGCAGAGTAATGCTAAGTTTGTGAGTTTGAGCCTTACCTGGAGCAAAGGAGCAAACTGAAGCTATCAGTGTTGAGGAGTTAAACTTCAGGACACCGGAGGCGGAACGGTGCAGCTTGCTTGTGGCCAGAATAAGAAAATAGTGGGCCGCTGCTCCTAATAATATCAGCATGTTTATTTCAGTCAGTAATTCAGTTGACACAATCATCTGAAAGAAGATCATATAGTAGATCTGCTCAACTGTGGTTCAGTGTCACTCCACACTGTGATTCAGTTTGTTAGGAAAAGACTTCAAGTTGTTGGCAGACTAGTGGCTCATAATTTGGATTATTCAGGAATTTGCCTCAGTACTGTGTCTGTGCGAGGTCACATCACGTGGATTACAGCTGTTTATTGTTAGCACGCTCTGTCTACTGTCTGCGATTAATCGACCAAGCTGGTCACTTTGGATTTTTTGGCTTGTGACAGTTCGGTAATTTGTCTGAGCACTTTTTCCAAAAACCCATTTCCTTCTCTGTTTGTGTTGCCCAGCTGGCAGGTGTCAGGAGAGGCAGCGAGCATGGATGAGCCGAGCAGCAGGAACAGCAGCCTGCAGAGGAAGAAGCCACCATGGCTGAAACTGGACATCCCAACCATCCAGCTGACACCGGATGACACGCCAGCGCCCAACCAGGTGAAGGCACAGGACTCAAAAGCATGTCTGGAGTAAAAGCAAGATAAGAGGTGTAAAATTCTGACTACAAGCACATGTTATACTGGAAAAAAATCAATGTTTTTGAGCGCTTTCAACAACATCTGGCGGTCTTTCACCTGGTGGCAACCAGTGTTGGTCAAGTTACTTGAAAAAAGTAATCAGTGACTAATTACTGATTACTTCCCCCCAAAAGTAATCCCGTTACTTTACTGATTACTTATTTTCATAAGTAATTAATTACTTAGTTACTTAGTTACTTTTTAAAAACACGATTTACAACCTGAAGAGGTGATAAAGCGATAGATCTTTCAGCCCAATTCTACTTTTTCTACATAATCCATCATACAAAATGTAATCAAATGGAAAAGTCTCTTTTTTTAAAACTTGTTTTATTAGTTTTAATCTTTTAACTTTATGCATCAAGCAAAAATTAAATTATATGCAACATTCTCTGACTGGAAGAAATTTGTTTAACATTTAAAACTATTTTCTGCACATTCCAGCACATAAAATAAAATATTTTGTGTGTTTACACTCAGTCTTTCAAATACAGTGGGGCAAAAAAGTATTTAGTCAGCCACCGATTGTGCAAGTTCCCCCACTTAAAATGATGACAGAGGTCAGTAATTTGCACCAGAGGTACACTTCAACTGTGAGAGACAGAATGTGAAAAAAAAAATCCATGAATTCACATGGTAGGATTTGTAAAGAATTTATTCGTAAATTAGGGTGGAAAATAAGTATTTGGTCACCTCAAACAAGGAAAATCTCTGGCTCTCACAGACCTGTAACGTCTTCTGTAAGAAGCTTTTCTGTCCCCACTCGTTACCTGTATGAATGGCACCTGTTTGAACTCATCATCTGTATAAAAGACACCTGTCCACAGCCTCAAACAGTCAGACTCCAAACTCCGCCATGGCCAAGACCAAAGAGCTTTCGAAGGACACCAGGAAAAGTATTGTAGACCTGCACCAGACTGGGAAGAGTGAATCTACAATAGGCAAGCAGCTTGGTGTGAAAAAATCAACTGTGGGAGCAATCATCAGAAAATGGAAGACATACAAGACCACTGATAATCTCCCTCGATCTGGGGCTCCACGCAACATCTCATCCCGTGGGGTCAAAATGATCATGAGAACGGTGAGCAAAGATCCCAGAACCACACGGGGGGACCTGGTGAATGACCTGCAGAGAGCTGGGACCAAAGTAACAAAGGTCACCATCAGTAACACACTACAACGGCAGGGAATCAAATCCCGCAGTGCCAGACGTGTTCCGCTGCTGAAGCCAGTGCATGTCCAGGCCCGTCTGAAGTTTGCCAGAGAGCACATGGATGATACAGCAGAGGACTGGGAGAATGTCATGTGGTCAGATGAAACCAAAGTAGAACTTTTTGGTATAAACTCAACTCGTCGTGTTTGGAGGAAGAAGAATACTGAGTTGCATCCCAAGAACACCATACCTACTGTGAAGCATGGGGGGTGGAAACATCATGCTATGGGGCTGTTTTTCTGCCAAGGGGACAGGACGACTGATCCGTGTTAAGGACAGAATGAATGGGGCCACGTATCGTGAGATTTTGAGCCAAAACCTCCTTCCATCAGTGAGAACTTTGAAGATGAAACGAGGCTGGGTCTTCCAACATGACAATGATCCAAAACACACCGCCCGGGCAACAAAGGAGTGGCTCCGTAAGAAGCATTTGAAAGTCCTGGAGTGGCCTAGCCAGTCTCCAGACCTCAACCCCATAGAAAATCTGTGGCGGGAGTTGAAAGTCCGTGTTGCTCGGCGACAGCCCCAAAACATCACTGCTCTCGAGAAGATCTGCATGGAGGAATGGGCCAAAATACCAGCTACTGTGTGTGCAAACCTGGTAAAGACCTATAGTAAACGTTTGACCTCTGTTATTGCCAACAAAGGTTATGTTACAAAGTATTGAGTTGTATTTTTGTTATTGACCAAATACTTATTTTCCACCCTAATTTACAAATAAATTCTTTACAAATCCTACCATGTGGATTCATGGATTTTTTTTTCACATTCTGTCTCTCACAGTTGAAGTGTACCTCTGGTGCAAATTACTGACCTCTGTCATCATTTTAGGTGGGGGAACTTGCACGATCGGTGGCTGACTAAATACTTTTTTGCCCCACTGTAGATGAAAGTAAAACACAGCAGAAAATAAATAAAGTCAAAGACTAGCGGTCCTGTTGCTCTATTTTCACCTGTAAACCAGGAGTGGGGTAGGTGGAGGTTTACCCTGGTGCAGGTGTGCCGCGGTCAGTTGAAGAATCCGCGAGTTTCTCTGTGAATTTCCCATTACGTCGTTGAGCACTCGGTGCTTTCTTTTAGGGGTTTTTTGTCGCTGTAAAAAGAAGTTTTCTTCCCACGCACAACGGACGCTAATGTTTTTGTCACTTTTTATGGAATCAAACTCAAAGTAAGGTCAGTACTTCCACGCTTTAAACGCTGCACGCTCATACTCTCTCCGCACTCGATATATGATCCATTGTTGATCTGCACACAGCTGTTGCCACAAACGTCGCACTTGCTTACGTCACTGTCATGAGACACTCTAGCAAAAAAATCACGGTTTTAGTAACACAGTAACGCAGCGTGCCTACGGGAAGTAACAGCAATCTAATTACCGTTTTTTTGCAATAGTAATCCCTTACTTTACTTGTTACTTGAAAAAAGTAATCAGATTACAGTAACGCGTTACTTGTAACACGTTACTGCCCATCTCTGGTGGCAACTCAGTAAATTCCATCAAATGAAGAAGACCGTAGCACTGAAAACTCTAACCCTAGCGGATTGCTTCTTCTGTGTGGAATTAGCTTGTTCCTTGACATGCAGTCACTCATTCCCAGTGGTACAGAGCATGATTGTATCATTTGTGTGTGTGTTTATGTGTGTTTACGTTACAGCCAGTGAGGCGCCTGCGCAGCGTCAGCATGCCAGGGGAAAACCCTCAGACCTGCATTGCTGCCTTGGAAACCTCCAACAACTACCTCAGACCTCCTGCGGAGAGATTGCCCTCCATCACTCAGTCCATTAAAAGGTTAGACACACACACACACACACACACACACACACACACACACACACACACACACACACACACACACACACACACACACACACAGGGGTATATAAAGAGAACTCCTCTGTCCTCTCTTCCTATTTTCTCCAGCTGCTAATTTCCTCTTTCTGCTTCTGCAAGCAAAATCCATAATTCTAATAATTCCTCAACTAAACTATTAGATGCTTTTGCTTCCTTTCAATTAATCCTGCTCTCTTTTTTCTCTTTCCCCCCCTTTTACTTTGGCCTTGCTTTTTTCTTTTTTCTTTCCCTCTTTGTCTCCCTTCAAACCTCTTACTCCGATGTGAACGTAGTGAGAAAAGGGTGCACTTTGAACGCATCAACACCGTTCCCCCAAAGGGCCAGAGGAGCCCCAGGAGGGTGTCAACCATCCGAAGGCGGTCCTGTATCCCCAAGATACTGACCCGGCGGCGTTCATCTATACCAAAACAAATCATCAGGTACATGAGAGGTGAAGTAGGGGGCCAGGATAACAGCGAGTAGAAGCTGTTAGTTGATTTTTTTTGACTAGTGGTCGATTATTGGGTTTCAGCAAGCTCCAGGGATGCCAGCATGGACTTAGTTAGTTGAAACATCTTGTCATGTGAGTCTTGACTCAGACTTTCAGGTGAAAAGCTACTGCTTAACCCGTTGCAACACAAATTCTATCCTTTAAACTACTCACCTGATCTAAAACAGGACCTGAAAATGGGCTTTCAGCACAGGTTCGATTTCCTAAATCCCAAAGACAAAGCCCAAAAGGAAGTAAAGGACTCCAGTTCTCTGTCACTCCACTTGATTTGCAGTATGCTGAAAGGTTAATATGGGTTTATTTTTTTTGTCCAGTGATGCTAAAAACATGTTTGTTGCTTAATGTCTAATCCAGCCTTAACATTGAGTAAAACAGCTAAACTGAGACTGAAAGCTGGTGGACTAACATACAGACATCAAATAACTACTGAGTCTTCAAAACAGATGCTATTTGCTTGTAAGATCACACCTTTAACTCCAAAGGTGACATATCTGTGTTGTGTTTGTGTTTTATCTTTAAAACATGTTGAAATTCTCAGTAAAAATGGAGCTGATTTGTGAAGCATTTACACGCTATATTGAAAATAATAGAAATAAATTAAAAAATGATTTTCTTTTGAAATGTTCGTGTAAGATTTGATACATTTTATGATGATGACATGTTTATCACCCAGAACGCTTCATGTCATATTTATATTTACATTATATTATGGCAGTCATCATTTATGAATGCAAAAATGCTATTTTATGTCTGTCAAAACTGTTTTACTTTTGGCATTTTTCTTTGATTCAGCCAAAGAAATTGGAACAAATTATGTGTTCCTGACTTAGAAGGCTGTTAGTAAGTGTCCAAAGATACAGTTTACAATGGGTTACTGCTAAGTTGTCTGTTACATGTAGAAACAACACTGGTCCATCCTTTGAGGTACGTGCCTGTTTTATGCTTGAATGATTCATAGGTCAGTGTTAAGTGGCTTTACAAACAAAAATATTATTCATCTGAAAATGGTCAGATACAAGGATGGGACTGAAAGAAGCTAATGAAAGAGCCTGAGAAAGCCCAGAGAAGAACACTTTAAAAAGTGATAGGAAAAGTCAGTCTCCTTGGAAGCAAAACATAAAGAAATGAGGGGTGACTCATGAGTTTTGCTCAGTACTGTATGACAGTACTAAACTGGCCTGCCTGCAGTAACTGATACATTATTAAATATGACAGCGTTGAGCGGCTGAAACTGCGTGTCAAGCAATAACTGTGCAAACGTGTTTTTCAAAACTAACTTTGGTTCACACTTGATGCAACACAAAGAAAAACACATTACTGTCCCAACGTCTTTTCCAAAAAACATTAAGATGTACAAGTTTCAGCATTTAATGTGTTGTCTTTGTTATGTTTTCAGTTGACATGGTGGTTTAAAAGATTTTCAAACTCATTGGTCACATTTTCTTCATGCCACAGCTGCGAGGGTTTGTTGGTGTCAGTCCAGGTCATACACAGGACCACATGGTTTGTAGGAGACAACATAACACAAACGCTCATTCTGGCTATCTTATGTGCGTCATACCACTTCAAAGCGGCTGCTTAAACAGAATTAAATTAATGTAAACGTTTGAAGACGGAGCCGCAACTCAAACCTACAGATACTCTTCAAAAGAGAGTGTCCTAATGTTCTAATTTCATCTTGCAGAAATGTATTAGCTTTTTATTTGCATTTGTGGAAGAAGCACAGGACGCGTTTGATGTTCGTGAGAGAATTAATGCGATTGTATGTGACTCGTGGAGGTTAGCTGAGGTCCCTCCTCCGCAAGAGTTCACGAATCCATGCTAAATCTTTACTATTCAAACAAAGCACGTCTCTGAGTGTGATTTGTTGTGTGCACGCGGGGTATCTTGGAGTACACCCTGATGTTTGTTTATCTGGAGGACAAGCGGAGCGCTCTTTATGGGTCATTATTCATGTTAAGGAGGCCACAAAATTAAACGGTAGATAACTTTGCCATTCACCGCAAGTTCACATGCTCAGTTTGACTTCTTAAAGAAGTTCACGCGAGTTTCCGAACTGCAGAGCACATTGGGGTTTTAGCTTGGAGCGATGAGAAAATAAACCTCTCCGGTAGTGTGTGTATATACAGTATGTGTGTATGTGTCATGTCCAGGCATGTCCAAGGTGCACTCCCTTCATCGTTTCTCCCTCCTAATGCCCATGATGATCTTTCTTCTCTCCCTCCTTCTAACGTTCCATTTCCTGTGGTATGTTAGAGGGAGAACTGGTGTTTACATTCACTCCTGCAAAACAAGGCAGAGACACAGGCCGGCAGAGGGAGAGGGGACTCACTGATAGAGATCGTTGGGGGCTGTTGATGTGGGGAAAATGTTCAGTTTGACGAGGACCAGCATCGCTGTCTTTTTTGCCCAGTAGGTCACATCCTTTCATGTGAGCTCTTAAGGAGGGACGTCTCCAGACAAATTAACGCTCTTTGTCGGGTATGGAAATTTAGGCTGTGTGTGCTGGTGACACAAGTTCAGAAAACAAAGATCCACCCACTCATTGTGTGTTATATAGTCCAGCTGGATGAAATTGGAAGCTCTCTGTGGATTTCTTTTCACGTCATGATGTGGACATCAGCCTCCCGTCTGACTGAGGAGTTTAGCACTGGATTCTCTCAAACTTTGATTAACCAGGAGAGCACAGTAGAAGAAAGGGATGTTCAGCAGACTCCAGACATGTGCTGATCCTCCGCTCTTTGCTTAGCGGTGACGTAGAGCTGGCCTGGATATCAGGAAATCCCCTTATGGAACATTATATGTGGGATTTGTGAAGGATCAGTTTGTATTTGGCAGATTGAGGTTTATTAGGAGTCAGGGGCTAAGCGGGGACAGTACTGGCGATGGAGATCACTCAGCTCCAGAGTCCCCAGCCCAATCAGGAATGAGCCATACCCTAAAGCCCTCTTGGAGATCTCAGGACAGGTGAGTGCGCTGAGGCAAACTGGAGCAGAGCAAAACATCTGGCTCAGCATGAGATGCTTTGGAAAGTCAGTGACATGCTGGCCTTTTAAAAAATGGTGTTGACAACCAGCTTTCAATGGATGGACAAATAAATCCCTGATGACCTTTCAGCATATTGTGGTTCACAAGTATTAGAGGGAACTAGAGTGCTGCACACGTTTTTCAGGCTTTAGAAAATGTAACTCATGAGAGAGACTCTGGACTTCTCAGACTAGGGCAGATGAACCATTTACCTACCTCACAGCACAATGTTGTACTTTGTAGTTATGTATTAAAAAACTCATTCATATTGTTTCTAGAAAACATAAAAGTTGAAAAGTAAATATTAAATTATAGGAAAAATGTAAACCAACATAAAGTCGTACATAGGAAAACAACTTGAATGAGTTTGCCGTGAATTACAATGCGTTCTTAAAATAATGTCTATTTTGACTTTAATAGTAATTTTATCAGTGGTCACACTTGCTGCCTCCACATGTGGCTATGAATGAATGAGACTGGGCATGTGCAAACTGAACCAGCAGTAGTCTAATTGTTTTATAGCTACCTGGATTTTTTGTGTAGTGTTTGTTTGGATTGTGCAAAGCTTTACCCTTCTGCCTTTTCTTCTCCCTGATGCCCAAAATGCCGTGTGAGCCCATAATTACGTCGACTGTTGTTTCATGTGTACCAGCCTTACCTGGAGGATGTGGAGACTAATGCACGCGTGTTAAAATTGCTTTAATCTTCTGCGATGTGTGGTTGTTTTGTGCTGTCGTCAAGCAGTCTGAATGTTTTGTTCGCGTTTTGTGTGGGTGACTAAGAAAAAGAAAAGAAAGAAAAAGACGTGCTCGCTTGCTCGTGCGTGTGCCCAAAAAGAAAAAGAACTGCTTTTCTAAACAAACAACTGTCACCGAGCCTGAAATGAGCCCATTTCTGAAATTTGGCCTTGTTGTTCCACCAGGATTTAATATTGTTTATGAGGTTTGTGTGATTGCTAGCTGCATTTAAGGAAACAAACATTTTGTAACTGTGCAAAAGTTTTTGAGAAGTCTGGATCTCCTGTCCTCCTTATTTCTCTCTCTCTAATCCCGCTGTTTACGTCTCCGTTCTTGCTCAAGGCATCCAGTCTAAATCCTACCGTTGTTTTGTTTTTGTTCCAAACCTGTTTCCTCTTTTTAAGAGATCCCTCTCTGGAGGGACAGTAATCAGGGCTGCGCCACCCCCACCCTGTCCTTGTGCAGCCTTAAAAGGCTTCCCCAGCTGGCGTTTTTCTTGATGATGAGGGCTGAGTGTTTATTACTAAACGTTCTGCTCTCTAAACAGCCTCCCCCTCCTCCCACTGATCGGTTAACACGCAGCCTGATGTGCGGACACAGTTCTTGGAAAAAGGGGGACCTGAATGCACATTTATCGAACTGAAATGTAATAAACAAAGACCCATATTGTGTCATCTACTCTGGGAATATGAGGCAACATCTGCTTCTTTTCTGCCAGCAGAGGGCTGTAAATTATATAAGGAAACAAGACAGTGTATTTCATCCAGGCTCTCAAAGCTGGGTTCAAACTTGCACACATTAGACAGAGATAAAAGTACAAGAAGAGCATCTTAGATGTTATAATATAAAAGTGTTGTTTTCTTGACTTTTTAAAATCATGGCCCGTATTTCATCCTGATTCATTATTAAGTTCTTGTGCTAAGATGAACCTGATTCATTTCTGACACACTACCACTACATCAAAAAAAGTATATGCTTTCACTAAGCAGAGTGTGTCCTCTCCCCCAGGGGTACGGCTGACTGGTTTGGGGTGAGTAAAGACAGCGACAGTACCCAGCGATGGAGGAGGAAGAGCCTGCAGCACTGCAGTCATCTGTACGGGGGTCTGAAGACGCAGGTGATGAGGGAGATGGAGCTTCACAGCCAAGACAATCTCTCCCTTGCCAGCACTGAGACCCCTCCTCCCCTCTACCTCCCACCCCTCCACCCCAGTCATCACCACTATGGCATGCAGAGGGTAGGCCTGCGCCAATGTGGGGGGGGGGCGCATGTTAGAGGGATGGAGACGTAGATGGGCACCTTTTCTTTCGTCACATTTCTCCCCCACCTCTCTCCTCCTGTTCTTCATGTCACATCTTGAAAATCGGGGTCGCTTTAGCGCCTTGCTTTGTTCGCTTTCGTAGGGTTCAATTGATGGGGTCTTAACAGAGAAAGAACTTTTTATTGACGATTTGTTTGACTAACCGCAAAAACAACAAGCCACTGAAAGTCACAATAATGAGTGCAGCACTGATATTAATTATACAGTTACAGATGACGGTTTTTCCAAGTAGCATTTTTAAACACATTAGACGTCTTTAGAAAGCATCAATTATTTCTGTTGTTACACAAAAATATAATTATTTCAGAAAAAAATAAAAATTACCAGGGTTAATATCATCAGTCCCAAGTTAAAACTGCAAAACTTTGAGCCGTCACTTTAGAAAGCATCAGCCCAAAAGTCAAAGAAGTCATTTTAGAGCTGAGAAAAAGAATTATTGAGAGAATGAGGTGGATATAGAAAGTTATCACAGCATTTCAAAGTTATAAGAACTGAAAAATCATCAAGAAATGTCTTCCTTCTCTCACCCCAACTGGTCCCGGCAGATGGCCCCGCCCCTCCCTGAGCCTGGTTCTGTCTGAGGTTTCTTCCTGTTAAAAGGGAGTTTTTCCTTCCCACTGTCGCCAAAGTGCTTGCTCATAAGGAGTCATATGATTGTTGGGTTTTTCTCTGTATCTATTATTGTACGATCTACTGTACAATATAAAGCACATTGAGGCGACTGTTGTTGTGATTTGGCTATATAAAGAAAATTGAATTGAATTGAATGAATTGAGTCACACAGTACACAGTAATACTAATGTAAGCATTCAAAATAAATCTAGGATGCTGGAAAAGCTGTGTTGAAATTCCTTGCTCTGTTAAATGCTTAAAAATTAAATTTTCATGGCGGGGGAGGGGAGGGGCTAATAATTCTGTACTCCTTTCATTGTGAATTCTGTGTAGCTAATAGCATGTCAGCGTAGCCCGCTAAGTGCTAGTAGCCTAAAAAGCCCTTGGTTTAGCAAATTTATCTGAAACTTTGCCCTTAATTTTAGTATAAAAGATCATATCAGACGTAAAACATAAAGCACATGTGAAGTAAAATCTACTTACCCCCTTTTACATCAATTTAACCCTAATATCGATGTGTATGTGCATCCCTGTTGCCTCTTCTGTTCTGTCGTGTCAATCGAGCTTAAAAGAAAAAGGTTGTGGTGAACCGACACACTTGTGCGACGCGTTGTGTTTGTGTGCAGATCGTAGACCCCCTGGCTCGGGGTCGTGCCTTCCGCAATGTGGAAGAAGTAGATGGCTTGAGCGCCCTGCAAACTCCCATGACGCCCGGCACAGCTTCCCTCTGCTCATTTTCCAGCTCACGCTCTGCCCTCAATCGTCTCCCACGACGACGCAAGCGAGAATCTGTCGCCGTCATGAGTCTCAAGGCGGCGGCGGCGCTAATGAAGGTGTATATTTGTTGTTTATTCCAGAATTCCTACCTAAGACGGTCTTGCTGTCTTTGAATTCTTCTACACTGCTGCCTGTCAAGATAGTCATGCATGTTCCTCCTTCCTGGTATTAAAAGCTCATGCAACAGATTCTAGTAAGATAGCCCATAAAAGGACTTTGATTTACATTAAGTTATTTCTTATTTGTCCCAGAAAAAATACACTTACCATAATGATTTGGCAGGTTTTTTTTCTGTACACAAGCATGTTGTGTAAAACAGGAGATTTGCGTGTCCTGTTGGGGATTAAAGTCAGGCGCTATACTTTACAGCAGTGTGCACGTGACTGTCCTTGTGTGAACCACGAGCTACAGAACACATATGTAAAGCAATTATGCTACTGTTCAGAGTGTGTGTGTGTGTGGTGGGGGGGGATTACTGGGGGTTTTACCAGCAGATGATCCGTGACAACACCAGTGAATGCTCAGTTATCTGCTGCTTTGTTTTCAGAGCACTCTGGAAGAGCTGAGCTCATATAGGTGCAAACCCGCAGAGGCCACATCGCATCATTAAGATACGCGGTCTCACTCTTTTGCATCAGTGCTTAGGTTTAGTTACCAAAAACTACTTGGGGAAGATTTAGGAAAAGTTTCACTACTGTGTTGTTCTCTTTTTGCTTGTGTTTTTTTTCCAGCAGGTGATCAAACTGATCCTTTGTATCTTCTCTCTCTGTCTCTCTTCTCCTCTGTTTTTCTTTCCCTCTCCTTCTGTTGAGCTTCTTCCCAACTTCTCTTTTCTTAAAAGTAAAATAAATAAATAATGCAGATCGAACAAGCAATGACAATCAAGTAGACCAGTATGGGAAACGGCATAATGATCCACTTGGGAAAGTAAATCTGTTGGGCATTTTTCTGGTTGCAACGGTGACAGACAGGCCAAAAAACATGATACTTAGATATTTCATTTAAGTGTGACGCCGAGGGGTTCATAGGTGAGCAGGTTAGAGCTTTTTCACTATTACCATGAACCCAGTGAGCCACCTTGTGGCTCTCATTTCCCAATGATAAAGTAATACCTTTATTATTAAGGTGCTTTTGTCGATGTGATTTAGAAAATTTCCTCCATCTTTGTTTGAAATGTCCTGTTTATGATCGTTTCTCAGGGCCGGACGTTAGGCGAGAGCACCGCTGGGCGGCGGCGCAGACGGAGTTTCATGCCTCCTAGTTTCTTCGAAGATGACACTGCGGATTTCCCTGATGACCTAGATACTTCTTTCTTCACCAGAGTGAGCAGTGGACACACTCTCTCAAAGCGACTTTTAGTCACTGTGACATTCATTTGAATTCACAGATTGATAAAGCTTGCATTTTTTCGTTCAGGATAAGAACTTCCTGCAGCATAATTTTCAGTTCTGCAATCTTCTGAATGCGATAGCCCGCAGAGGCTTCATGTAGCAAAAACATGTGTGCTTATTTCTCTGAAATAAATTAAAAATACTGTCTACGATGTATTTATGAGATGAGTCTTTGCAGGAAGGCCTACAGGATGAGTTGTCCAGCTATGCTGACGAGGTTTTTGAGACTCCGTCGGAGGCTGCCCTCAAACAGCTAGATGAGAGCGAGCTCACGGGAAGCGCTCTGGATAGGAACGAACTAGAGAGGAGTCATCTCATGATGTAGGTCTCCACTGTATCCTTCACATGCACACAAAAAAATGAAAGGAGCTGCAATCCCTTAGAATGCTTCCTCCTCCCCGATTCAGGCCTTTAGAGCGAGGGTGGCGGAAGGCAAAATCCGGCTCTGCGGTCCAACCCAAAGTCCGCCTGAAACAGGAGGTGGTGAGCGTCAACAGCCATCAGCAGCGAGGGCAAAGAATCGTGGTTCCGGTTAAGAAGCTTTTTGCCAGAGAGAAGAGGCCGTACGGGCTGGGCATAGTCGGACGTCTCACTAACCGGTCGTATCGCAAACGCATAGACAGCTACGTCAAGCGGCAGATTGAAGACATGGATGATCACAGGTGAGACGGGATGTGGCTGTTTAGAAATGTTTAAATGCAAAAAGTAAACAATGCATTAAAAATGCTTCCCTCTCCAGGCCTTTTTTTACCTACTGGATCACCTGCGTCCACCTGCTCATTACCATTCTGGCTGTCACCATTTACGGTATTGCCCCTATCGGCTTCTCGCAACACGAAACTGTCGACTCGGTAAGTAAAGTGTTCGACTTTTATAAGGGTTTAATGCTGCTTTGTTACAAATTTTTGAATATTGAAATTTTTATTTTTTATTATTTTTTTATTTTTGAGGTGCTGAGGAACAAGGGGGTTTATGAAAACGTGAAGTTTGTGCAACAGCAAAACTTCTGGGTGGGTCCGAGCTCTGTAAGTACTTCCAGTCTTTTATCCACCGCCTTTCACACTACTAAAAATCGCAGGCGAGTTTGAATCTCAGTGACCTCTGCCTCAAGGTCAGAGGTCAGAAGTCGAGTTTTCTAAAAATCTTGTGAATGCGATAATTAAAGAACAAAGTGATGTAGAATTGAAAGAGGCTGTACGCCCTCTTTAACCATAAGTGTGTATAATCTGCTCATGTATTCATGAACACTTGTTGTATTAGCTACTAATACACACAAATATCATATAAATATAATGTATAAATAGTACAATAAAGCAATGGAAAAATGGTTAAGTGTTAGTTTAAAGTTAAATGATTCAAACGCATGTCGAAATTAAATGCATGTATGATTTTTGACTAAATAAAGGAATAAATGGTTAAAATATACATTTTCTGTTGTAGTAGTATTTAAACACACCAGGTTCCATATTTAAATTAATCACACAATCTTCAGTTGAAATGAATGCGCAAATGTATTTGTTTGTTTCCTGTGGCTGGTGTCTTGAAAGACTTATTTGACAGAGGTGTTAGGATCTACATGGACATTTTTCTTTTCAAATTGTCACGTCATCTCTTCTTCGCCACAGGAAGCGCTGATTCACCTGGGAGCCAAGTTTTCCCCGTGCATGCGTCAGGATGAAGAGATCCACAAGCTGATCCAGGAGAAGCGAGCACTAGAGAGAGAATCGGGCTGCTGTGTGAGGAATGATCGCTCCGGCTGCCTGCAGACTCTACAGGAGGAGTGTTCGGTCAGTCACACCAGCTTAGATTTGAAAGAGTCTCAGCACCAACCATGACCTGTTTATTTCAGGCACACTATGATTTTATTGAAACTTGTGCTCAGAAAATGATACCTTACTGATGGGCAGGTCACCTACCAATTGGAAGGTTGATGGTTTGATCCCTGTCTGCTCCAGTCTGCATGCCAAATATCTTTGGGCAAGATATTAACCCCAAGTTGCTCTCTGATGCTGTTGGAGTGTGTATGCATGTTAGGTAGAAAACAGTGAATGAAGCATGTTGTGTAAAGCACTTTCAGTACTCAGATAGTGCTATACAAGAACCAGTCCATTGACGTATAGTGTCAGTGCATTCTGAATATACATGGCATGTCTTTGCTCTGCAGAGCACACTGGCAGTGTGGGTGAAGTGGCCTCAGCACCCCAGTGCTCCTTCTTTGAACAGTGAGCTCCGGCAACATGGTGCCGTTTGCCATCAGGACCCCAGGTAACATGATTATCATTCTTCAGCTTTAATAGAAAACAATTTTGGATGAAGGACTCATAACTTAAGACAAGAGCAACAGTCTGCCGGACAGACTTTGTTTTTATCCATGTGTGGGCTGAGCTGTTGGAGCCGACTTACCCTGCTGGAAGACGTCAGTGTTCACTCTTATTTCTTGTACTTTTGATTTTGCAGAATCTGTCTGGAGCCAGCCTCTGTTTCACCGCATGAGTGGCCGGATGACATCACTTCTTGGCCTGTAAGCGCACTAACATGTTATCAGTCTAACCTCACAACATCCACAGGGTTAGATTAAGGGTTTGGTTTTATTTAAAACAAATGCTAAACAGGCCACTGTTCGGAAACTAGGAGATACATTTCCACTGAAGTCTTTAAGCATTTTTCAGTGTTACAGCTAAAATTCGTAACCAAAGCCAAACCCTACCCCTAACTCCAGATGGGCCAAGTGTTCATCTGATACTATTATTTATCAACGAGTAGATACATGGATCAGGTAGTATCAGATAGCAATGATTCTGTTTCTAAGCCAGTCATATACCAAAAGGCTAAGATGTCTGATTATACAACTGTAGCTCAGTACAACTGTACTGCAAGAGAGTCTCTAAAGACTAATGTAATATTGCATTTAAGTGGTTTGGTTCAAGTCAATGTGAGGCAAACAGTTGTCTCCTTGTTCTCCTTGTGTGTGTGTGTGTGGTTTTTTTTTTTCTAAACTGTTGTAACTGTAATCCGATGAGAAACTTTCACTGTGGTTTTGATTTGTAGGTTTGCACAAGGTTCAACTCGGGGAATCACACTAACCTCCCCCACATTGATTGCACCATCACAGGCCGGCCCTGCTGCATCGGAACCAAAGGACGGTGAGGATCGGGATCACTTATTTACAACACGTGCTCAGTAACAGCGTCAAACATTAACAGTATCTTTATAAATGTGTTTGAATAAAAGATTAGTACACTGATCTCTACTTAAAAACCTGAATTCGTGTTGCAGGTGTGAAATAACTTCTAGAGAGTACTGTGATTTTATGCATGGCTACTTCCATGAGGAGGCTACGCTCTGCTCACAGGTAGGACAAACAGCACACACACACCTTTTTTAACTGCATGTTTAAAAACAGTGGCCTGTGTAAATTTGCTCCTTTAAGTGAGAGCCTGGTGATTTAAAACATTGTTGCTCCAGGTGAGGCTCGAACTCACAACCTCGGCATTGCTCTGCAGGTTACTGTCGTATAAGTACCGCGCGCTGACCGATTGCGCCACTGGAGCCTGCAGCACACAGTGCAACAGAATGGACTGTGGACTGCATTCACCTCTGGCACGTTCCACCACAAGGTGGCAGCAGAGCATCACTGACTGTTGTAGCCGTAACCCTGACTGATTGTATTGTTGTTTTCATTTGTGTCAGGTGGCCTGCATGGACGATGTCTGCGGTTTGCTGCCTTTCCTCAACCCAGAGGTCCCTGATCAGTTCTCTCGGCTCTGGTTGTCCCTGTTTCTTCATGCTGGGTGACTGCACTCTTCCTTTCTCCCTTCAGTATTTAAAGCAGCCATGAAGATGTTAAATTATGGGAAAAACTTAGTTGCCTGAATACTTCAGTGAAAATGTGCATGCATTTGTGGAATGTTAAGGATAACTGGTTGCTTGTCCCTGCAGAATTCTGCACTGCTTGGTTTCGGTGTTGTTCCAGATGACGGTGCTGAGGGATATAGAGAAGTTGGCTGGCTGGCTCAGAATCTCTATTATCTACATGCTCAGTGGCATCACTGGCAACCTGGCCTCTGCCATCTTCCTGCCCTATAGAGCAGAGGTACAAGCTGATGTTGATGTTGCCAAAAAATATCATAGTTATACATTGTTTTCATTTAGTCGATCTGTGTGCGATCTATAGGTGCCTGTCTTTTTCTTCCCAGGTGGGTCCTGCTGGCAGCCAGTTCGGCATCCTGGCTTGTCTTTTTGTGGAGCTGTTTCAGAGCTGGCAGATCCTCGAGCGACCGTGGCGAGCGTTTGCTAAGCTGTTGGCCATCTCTGTGTTCTTCTTCTCTTTTGGTTTGCTTCCCTGGATCGACAACTTTGCCCACATCTGTGGTTTCGTTTCCGGATTCTTCCTGTCCTTCGCCTTCCTCCCATACATCAGGTAAGTGACTATTGCTCTGTGTGCTTTTCTATCCAGGCTTTACTGCATTGGCAGTACATTCGAGGCCATTTTAATGCTAAGAAATGAAGCAGCTGCTAATCAGATGCTTTCTAGATGGTATTACATGGTAGGTCAAAATGTGACCGCACTTTTATGTGTGTTCAGTCCAGCTCTTGTGTAGCTCTTGTGTAATCTAGCATACCTCAGTGTTGTCTGATGGAGTAGAGGGATTAACTGAAGGGCCAGATGCATCTCTTAAACACTTTCATCTACTGTTTATCTGCTTCTACTACTTCTCCTTTCCTCTTTTCTTTTATCTTTTCTATGTTTTTTAAGACAGGCTGCTAGTAACAAAGTGCCTAAAGATACAGTTTAAAACAGATTCTGAATACGAGTGAAAAAGCAGTAAGTGTCCAAAGAAAAGCTGTGAAAGACCTTCAGAAAGCCTGGAGGACTACTGCTGAAGGAAGGTCTGACTCCTTGGAAGCAAAATATAAAGAAATGAAAGGAACGGTTCACATGTTGTGGAAATTGAAGAGACTGAAAACTGTTGCCACTACTTTATATTTAAAGCTAAATTAAGCTGGCGCTAGTTAGCTTAGCTTAGCATTCACTTGACTTACCTCTAGATTCTTTATTCTTTCCTTTGACTGAACGTTTCCTCAGTCTATATGCAGTGTTTTCATTCCCTTCATCACTTTCATGATTTAAGAGGTTTGATGCAAAACAATGACCGTTCTCTGAGGGAAGTAATGATGCCACTGTTGTTTTGTTGTTGTTGTTTTTTCACCCACCAGCTTCGGCCGTTCCGATATGTACCGAAAGCGAGTCCAAATCTGCGTCTTCCTGCTGATCTTCCTGGGTCTGTTCTCCGCTCTGGCCGTTCTCTTCTACATCTACCCCGTGAAGTGCGACTGGTGCGAGTACCTCACCTGCATCCCCATCACAGACAAGTTCTGCGAGAAGTACGACCTAAACGCACATCTCCTCTGACTGTTAGTCCTTGGAGTCCAAGCTGATGTCCACTGATAAGATTAGGATGTGTGAAATGGTGCTTGGCAGCACTTACGACTGATAAAACCATCAGTATTTCTAGATTTTGTACGGACTGGTGAATTCCAGATGTATTTTTTCAATATACAAAACAACATGCATGAAAGCCTTCAATATGCATGAAAACAAGGAGAACAATGGACTAATAACTGATCTGTGTGTGACTGATCTTGTCCTGGGCTATTCAATGTCCACTTGCACTGGCCAGTAACAGTACACCTTAGTGGCCACATGGAAGTTTTATTTGGTACTTTTTACCCAGCAGTCACAGCTTCCTGGACGCTCTGCCGTGAACTCTAAGGACACAAGGCTCTAAATTCATCAGCGTGCCTTACTGATACAGCACAGCCTCTGACTTTAATGTCTGTGGAAACTGCTTTCAGACACAAATCATGTCAAATATGTTTTTTACTTCAGTATTTGGAGGCTGGAATGCCATTTTGTTTATTTGTTTACCACTCTGGAAACCACAGCCTTTAAAGCACTCCAGTCACAAATGGATGTTCTGTTTTTTTAATATTCACCTCTTTTTTTTATATATATATATGTTTACAAAAAACAAAAACAAAAACAAAAACAGGTGGGTTCATGCGCTCAATCGTAGAAAGCTGTTAAAAGGTGAATTTGTGTATGTGTGTGTGTTTTATTAAAAGTGGTGGCGTTTTAGCTACCTGGCAATGAACACAAGAGGACAAAATCCGTGACTGTGTGTTGTCTGTTCTCAGATAGCCAGAGATTGATGCTTAAACTCACAACCTCAGCATTGCTTCATAAGTTAGTACTCTCTACCAGTCTGCACCACTGGAGCCCACTGTGTCTGTGGTTTTTGAGTTTGTGAATTGTCATGAATGACTGTGACTCGCACAGATCTTTTTTTTTAGATGTGTCCTTGATCCAACACAGCTGATTTAAATGGCTAAATGACCTCCTCAACATGTCTTGAAGTTCTCCAGAGGCCTGTTATGAACTAATCATTTGATTCAGGTGTGTTGACCCAGGGTGCGATCTAAAACCTGCAGGACTCCAGCCGTTGAAGCCTGGAGTTCCCCGCCCCTATTTTAGACCATGGTCGACAACCAGGGGCAGAACTGGCCTGGGAAAGACTCCAATCTGGTCCGCTGAATGGACTTGGAAAAGCTGCATTTTTTGGACTTTTAAATTATTTGAAAACATTTTACAACTTTTTCTGATAACAACACCCCATCCCCACCACCACAGCTGCTCATATTGCACCACAGTAATCAAGTAATAGATAAACAATAACATAACAAAAACGTTCCTGTTTTTTCACTACTGACTATATAAATGTATATTTATTTACAACAAATCCACAAAAAAGGACATTTTCTGTGAGTTAACACAGAAACTTTGTTTTATAATTACAGGACAGTCTGGCCAGTGAGCTACCAGATCATTTTCTGTCATTTTACACATTTATTTCTTAACTTTGAAGTTGTGTTTTTAATACATTAACATCATTAATCACTCCTTGAAATGGAGAATCCATTATAATACACAGAATTCAAAAACACGTACACTTTTTGTTTCAGTGAATATAGATATTTTACTTTACGTTACTGCTAACAGAAGTGATTCTTTTTAAAATTCTGAGTATGGTATATCATAATGAAATTGGCATATAAACTGACCTTTTCGGTTTGTCAGATAATCAGTAACCCTCTCTTGGGCACGCAGAAAGAATCAAATCAGATGTGACGCCTCGTGAGTGCAATAACGTAAGCCGACAATGATGATAGTGCCCTTTTACACTGAAACTATAAACACCATTAAATACTGATGGCTAATTTCTTAACACTGGTCAGAGCCCAGAGCCGGACAAATAGAAGTCTTGCTGCGTTTGGGGAACGGCCAATAGATGGCAACCCGAGACCAATAACTTACAGGTTGGGTGAAACATGACCGCCGCTGAGGGTGCGAAGCTCAAATTACAGCAATGCTGTTGTGGTGTTTTCGGGGATTTGAATGTCATTAATTCAAGCAGAAGGTTTATTAGCGTGCAGAGCGCTTATTGCGGCCCCTGATGCTCACTGCGTGTTGCACCGATGGGTTTGTTGACGCCGGCGCTTTCTTCCTCCTCTCTTTGAGCGTGCACGGACACACGCACACGCTGGCGTTTGCATGCACATACACACATGTGATTGCTCTGGCATTCATTAAGTCTTGTCTGTAATTGACTCTAAATAAGTGCGCACTTATGCTAGAGAGGAGCTAAGAGGACAACACTGATCTGCATACACAATGGAGCAGAAGTCGTCTTTGTAGGACTAGCTGGAGTTGACTTTGGTGTTGTGATAATTGTTGTCCTACTCTCTTTTATTATTAATATGCAACTGGGCCAGGAATGCAGGATTAACAATTAATTGACAATTAATCTAAAAATCTCATATTTGATCAAAATCCGGCTTGATTAGATGCTTTAAGACAGTTCTGCAAGCATGAAAGAAAAAACAGTAACGCTTCATAATACAGCCTGTGCAAGGGTGTAATTCCCCAGTAATTAAATGGACTTTAAATTGAATTGTAATTATAAGAAACAAACAAATAATAATTATATATGAATGCATAAAAAGAAAGAAAGACAGATAAATTTAAAAAAGAAAAGTTCCCCACTCCTTACAGCTTGAGGGCCCTGAGCTGTATCTTTACTGTTCCTATGACTGCGCTCTTCTGGACCGAGATCTTGGATGTTCCTGGGATCTGGAGACACTGGCCCAGTTTGGGGTTTCTGCCCCGACTGCTGCGATTACCACTGGGACCACTGTTGCCTTCACCCTCCACCCTATTTCCCCAGCTTCTCCTGTTCCTTCTTCCTGATATTGCTGTCACTTTCTATCACTATCACTTGGTTTGTCCGTCTGTATCTAGAAGTTCCACAGGATCTTTGCTTGGTTATGGTCAACCACCACTCCCATTTTCCCCTATACTATGCCAGCCACTTGGTTCTGGTGTTCCATGTATGCCCTGCCTGCTAGCCTCTTGCTCCCTGCTGTTATGTGCTGGATTGTCTCAGGGGTATCTTTGCACACCCTGTACCTGGGGACCTGCCTGCTGTGGTGTCCTGGTTCCTCAACAACTGAGCCGGTATGGCTTCAGTTATGTGTCTCTCAATCATACCCCAAAGTAAGCTTGAGTAGCATGAAGGACCTAGCCAGGGGACACTTACTGGACGTTTGCCATGGTCAGGATTCAAACCCCAAACCTTTTGTTCCAAAGGCTGTTTTTTTGTTTGTTGTTTTGTAATCACCAGCAGATTGTGTTTTGTTTTTTTTAAATGAATTTGATTATACGTTGATCAAGTCGAGACTGCCAGTAACCGAGTTGAGATTTTTATACGTAGCATTTAAGTGAAATAAAACTTGAGCACTATAAAAAAATCACTGCACTGCTTTGTTTGCACAATTTCTACAGTTGGAACTGTCTGGACTCTTTGGACAGCACGGTGGCACAGTGGATGGATAAATGGGTAACACTGTTCCCTCACACGAAGAAGGCGCCGAGTTCAACCTCCTTTTTCTCTGTGGGCTTATTTAAATTTCATAAACTAAAACTTTGTGGTGATTTGTGATTTTATACTATAAGAAGTCTCCTATGATCTCCTTTTTCTGTGTTGTGTATATGCTGTATGGCTGAGCAACTAACAGTGACAAGTTAATGACCCTGCGTACAATTCCTGAAAAATAATCTCATTCTGTCATCTACTGGCTGCTTGGTGTAATTAAGGCAGCACCCAAAGCCATTACACCCCCCCCACCTCCCCATCCCAACCTCACCACTCAGACTCCTCAGAGGAAATTATCTCTCCCTTCTCACAACCCCCCCCAAAACACGCACACACACTTCTGCACTGATCCCTTCTCCAATCCAACCCCTGTCACGTCCACCTCCTCCTCATGCTCATTTCATGCCTCCCTTTTTCCATCACTCATTCATCATTTGGTTTTTCTAGTCCATCCATCCATTTTGCACACCCCCACCCCTGAAACTCTCCATCAAGGCTCCCATAGAGATGGTAATGTAACATGAAGAGGGTGGTATCTGCGACCCATTGATCAGCATCAAACGAGACACATTTAGATACCCCTTCGGTGCTCCCTGAACCTCCCCCCACCTCCTTGTGTAGTGTCGTAATGGTTGGTTGGTTTTTCGGGCCTGATAGGAGTAAATTAAACTTATGTCACTTGCAGGTATGATTGATTGATAGATAGATAGATAGATAGATAGATAGATAGATAGATAGATAGATAGATAGATAGATAGATAGATAGATAGATAGATAGATAGATAGATAGATGTAACTATTGCGTGGAAAGATGGAAAGGTGACCCTGAAATGGGACCCTGACAGCTGGCCAACAGGTGGCAACTGACAGACCCTCTCTCTTCATTGTGCCTGGAACACATAATAATACACACAGACTCCTCCGACTCAGCACCCTGGCCATCAGGTGAAGGAGGCTACTAAGTGGGCAAGGGAGGGGTGGCTGTATTTATATGTGTGTGTGTGTGTGTGTGTGAGAGAGAGAGAGAGAGAGAGAGAAGGGGGAGGTGTACCTGTACCGCAGGGCTTGCACACACCTGGCTGATGATCCCACCTATGTCAGAGCTGATGGAGAGTAATGTTATAGCACCCTCCCCCAACATGGTCCCATACACCACCTGGACTAATGCTGAAAAACCTTCTCCCTCTAGTGTGTGTGTGTGTGTGTATTCACTATAAATCTTTATCTAGTAGCTGCTTAATCTGCGAGCTTCACAAACATCAAGCATGTGCAGGTTATAAGACAATCTCTGCTCTCTGAAACTGTAAGATGTGTATCCACAGTGACATTTTTGTACTAATGTTCCAGCTTGTCTACAGGGAGTGCAGAATTATTAGGCAAATGAGTATTTTGTCCACATCATCCTCTTCATGCATGTTGTCTTACTCCAAGATGTATAGGCTCGAAAGCCTACTACCAATTAAGCATATTAGGTGATGTGCATCTCTGTAATGAGAAGGGGTGTGGTCTAATGACATCAACACCCTATATCAGGTGTGCATAATTATTAGGCAACTTCCTTTCCTTTGGCAAAATGGGTCAAAAGAAGGACTTAACAGGCTCAGAAAAGTCAAATAGTGAGATATCTTGCAGAGGGATGCAGCAGTCTCAAAATTGCAAAGCTTCTGAAGCGTGATCATCGAACAATCAAGCGTTTCATTCAAAATAGTCAACAGGGTCGCAAGAAGCGTGTGGAAAAACCAAGGAGCAAAATAACTGCCCATGAACTGAGAAAAGTCAAGCGTGCAGCTGCCAAGATGCCACTTGCCACCAGTTTGGCCATATTTCAGAGCTGCAACATCACTGGAGTGCCCAAAAGCACAAGGTGTGCAATACTCAGAGACATGGCCAAGGTAAGAAAGGCTGAAAGACGACCACCACTGAACAAGACACACAAGCTGAAACGTCAAGACTGGGCCAAGAAATATCTCAAGACTGGTTTTTCTAAGGTTTTATGGACTGATGAAATGAGAGTGAGTCTTGATGGGCCAGATGGATGGGCCCGTGGCTGGATTGGTAAAGGGCAGAGAGCTCCAGTCCGACTCAGACGCCAGCAAGGTGGAGGTGGAGTACTGGTTTGGGCTGGTACCATCAAAGATGAGCTTGTGGGGCCTTTTCGGGTTGAGGATGGAGTCAAG